AGTGGATGCGTTCTTTGATGAGGATGAGGCTGGTTTTATGGAAGATGTTTTTGGATTTGTGAGTTCTTAGGTGGTTCTTGAATTGCAGGAACTTCGGAATGATGTTATTATCCCTACAGCGTTTTAGGAATGCCAGGTTTGATAGTTTCTTGGCTAGGGAAGACTTTAGTTTGTTGAAAGTGTTTACTTTAGCAAGGATACTAAAGGTATTTAATAATATTCTTGAGGCTTCCACAAGTGTTTCCTATATGACAATCTTGCGTTCTCAGTATATGTATTCTTTCTCTCTCTACATCTTTAGTTAAAATATAAAATTTTTATTTTACACATTTTCCCGACATTTATTAATCTCTTCTTCTCTCCCTTCTCTCTCATCTTTAACCTGCATAGATACGAATATATTTCTGTTTTCTACAATACACTTTTTTCTACTAATTACAGATGATGATAGAAAAATTCACTTGTTTTGTTGCTTACACTTATTATCATTTCTTATACTTACATTCCTCGATCCGATCTCTTTCTTTCTATCTATAATTTTTAACCTTGTGTCTGCACTTCTTTCTTTTTCTTTTGTGTGCCTTTTCTCTTGCCTTTTCTCTTCTTCCTACAGACCCTCGTCTTATCAGCATTTCTTTTTTCACATAACTTCCTCTCTGTGGAGCTCACTCCCACCATCAAGGAATTGGAGTTACTCAATTCTTTCAGACGGGAATTCTTTTGTCATCTAATCCACAGCGTCGCGAACAACTTAATTTTTTAATTTCTCGTTGTTCGTACACTCTACTTTTCATTTCTCTCTACAAATTTTAATTTTATTCTAATATTATTTTTCTTTTACATTTTTTGTCACTATATTTTATTTATTTTGTTCATTGTACTACTTGTTTGATTATAAATTTGTTTTATTTTCTCTCTCTCTCTCTCTCTCTCTCTCCACCCCCCTCTCATTTCTCCTCTACCTCCTCTATCTCACCTATCTCTCCTTCTCTCTTTAATCCCTCCGTTCTCTACGTCTATATTAAAATTACTTCTATTTTAGACTGAAATTACTTCTATTTTATCATCTGATGAGGCATTTACATGCATAATAGACTTCTTCGATTTAGACGTATATCCAGAAGATTAAGATAAAATGGAGAAATAAAAAAGTTTCATGATTTAAAGTTTACACTTTAATTTTCCTTCTAATAAAGTTCTCTATAATAATTTGTTTTTAAGTTATAGATTTTATAAAAAAAACATTTCTTTTTTACGGTATAATTATTAAAAAATTATCAAAAAATGTTTAAAATATTTGTTGGGAAATGAATGAGCTTAAAAATACTATAAAATTTTGTACCAGATAGCAAACTTTCCTGATTAGCGCAATAATTTAAAAAATTTGTTTTTCAAAGTCTCCCTCTATTTTTCAAAGCCTTCGACGTCTGTCATTTTTAAATCTTTTTTGTAACTCTTTTTGTTCTCCTGGTTGTTAAAAAGAATATTTAAGCTTTAATTAGATCTATTATTCACCCTAATACAATGATTTTTTGCTGTGTTGTCGCTATTAAAAGATGTTACCAAGTTATATTAAATTTTGGTGGTCCGTTTTTTTGCGTGAATGTATTTCTTATTTGGAGACACGGTAGTGTCTCGGCGCTAAGCTTTGAGTGCACGAAATGATAAATAGAAAAAATTTTAATGGCGTGTACAGTTATTCAAGGATATAACTGTTGAACAATTTAGCAGTAAAGCCAACTACTAAAAAGTCTGTCAACATTTTGTCTACCGTATGCTCTTGCCTTAATATTAATTTACTTATACAAATAATTATTATTACTGAATTTTCCTAATTTATATAATTTATTTATTGTTCTTATTAAAATTTTATAATACATAGTTGAGGCGTTATTTATTCTTAAATTTCCAGATTTTAATATGACTTTTTTTCTTCAAATGAAAGTTAAAATGTCTCTTATCAAATATATTATTTAATTTAATTTAATAACTTTTCAAAATAAGATACAAAAGATAAGTAAAAATGTAAAATAATCTTTTTATCTATTTTATCTTTGTTTACTTTTATCCCCCCCCCCAGTAAAGATATATTTAATGTACACCTACAAGACATTAAAATAAGGCCATTTCTTATTCTATTTTCTACTTATGACTTGAATTTTTATTAAAATTCATTTAACACTGAAATCGTTTTCAGTCATAAAATATATTATAGCACTATATACTTCGTATTTTTTAAACTGCAAGGCATTTAGAGTTTATAGATCAATACCTATTCAAATTTCTAACAAATGTCTATTTAATCTATTGCTATTTTCTACACCTAAACATTTGATTATTAAATATTCAAGTCTGAGCAAATGGAAAACACATCCCGTTAAAAAATTTGTCATGCATGAATATGTCTAAATATGTATAAACATACATGAACATGTATAATAACATGTATAATTTTATATGAAATATGTCCATACATGTTCATATATCCTTTTTTTTTGTAATATTACTTTTTAGTGTAATAAAAATAATAATAATAACGTGAAAACATTAAAAATAATTAAAAGGGTAATTTTCACATTATTTGTTTTAGAAAAAATCAAGTTTAAAGAAATTATTTATGTATAATTATATATAAAATTATGCATAATTGTGTATGAGCAATTTTTTTACATTTTTTCAAATTTGATTTTTTCTAAACGAACAATGCGAAAATTATCTCTTTAATTATTTTTTATGTTTTCACATTACTATTATTATTTCTATTACACTAAAAAGTAATTTTATAAAAGAAAGAGGGATGTATGAGCATGTATGAACATATTTCATATATGATATTTCATATGTGATACAGTATGCGCCAAAAATATGCGACTCTCTTTTAATCCACTATTATGTCAGCTGAGTGTGACACAGTAACGTAGTGATTGCAATTAAAGGAAATCATACCAAATAAATATTTGGTAGAAGGACAAAATATTTGTGTTATAATTAAATTTGCCCTCGTCCATTTACTTTATTTAACTAAACCGACAACGGAAGTTTTAGTTATGAGAGTCGCATTTTTTTGGCGCATACTGTACATATTTATGAATATTTATGTATGTTTATATATAATTATACATATTCATATAAAAAAAACTTTTTTATCAGGATACATTCCTCCGGTTGTTGTATTATATAAACACGTTGCGGAAATCTGACAAATACGGCCCTGAGATCAAGTTTAAGATTTCACAAATCCGATAGTTCATTTCTGGATATCTGCTAGGACACAGGTATCTTACATCTGTACAGTTAACTTAAATTTATCTTTGTTTTTATTTGATGACTGATCTTGTGCAGGACTTGGCTGAATGGAAAAAACGAATACATATATATATATTTTTTTTTTAATATAAATATACGATAAAAAGTACAGCTGTTACGCAACTAATCGATCGTTGTGAACGTCTGTAATCAGGTAAGTATAGTCGAGCTTGTCGCAGGCATGTTCGTCAGTTCTTACTTTCGTTGTTGCAAGAAAACATGTCCTACTTACTGTAGTTTCGTCTAGTTTCTACGCAGCAGTCCGGAAAAGCATAATTAAACTGTGACCTCGTAATCTTAAAGATTTAAATCAAATGCAGGTATTTGTTTGAAAACTTTTTTGTTATAAACGGAACAATTTTATACTCCAAGAAATATATATACATATACATATACATTTACATTTAGAGTGAAAAAAAATCGGTAAGTTCATGATACTAAACAGCTGTTATTTTTTGGAATATTATACTGAGAACAGACAGAATGAATTAATACCATATTGTAGAAAAAACTTGTTATTTCTATTAACATATAGTATAAAATATATGCACGTGAACTTATAAAAAATAAATAATTTTGTAATAAAACAATAATTCGGCTGACTTTATCGCTCAATAATACACGTTTTTGAAATAATAATCATCAAAATTTGCACAATAATCGAGACATTTTTGAAAATTATTATATTTTATAACATTAATAATTATAATTGTGCCTTTAAAAATTCCAAATAAATATTTTTTATGAAAATGATTGCTTGTGCTAGTATTTGAATATATAAGTATTATACTACTAACACATAATTTCAATTTTTTCTTATATTTATTTCTCTACAAATTTCTAAATATTTATATATATAGTATATATATCTAGTAAAGTTTTGAATAAAAATACTACAGTAAGAAAGTTATTAACGAAAATAAATTTAAAAAATAATTACCATTTTTCGGTCAGTACTTAGTTTCCGAGATAAAAGTTTAAAATTGATCAATTACAGATTATAGTAGCGGCCATCTGTCCGTAAGTCGCACGTCGATAAAGTTACTAATCGCGTATGTCACGCATTCACAGATATTAGATAAATGATTGTATGCATAATGTTCGCATAATATCGTGTGCTACGTATAATATTTATGACAAATTAGTTGACATTTTATTTATACATCATGCGGATATCGTAACTTATACTGAACATAAACTGTTAATACAAATTAACAAATATTAATATTAATATACTAATATTTTCTAAAAATTCTTTCAACTATACGGAAAAATATTCTATCCGCAGCTTACCCAAATTTGTAAAATAAATGTGCATTAACATATATTTAAAATAATATTTGAAGATTTTACATTAACACAATGTATTAATAAAACATGCGATGTACCGTCAAAATTCACACAATCTATATAATTATTGGCACGTCGAATTCATAAAATATTCGTTCACAAATATTATTTATTTTACAATATCTACAATATAATACTTAATGTAATATTTAAGAACATGAAGAATTATTTATTTATAAGTTACAAAATTAAATATATTTCAAAACATGAGTTTTTTCAGACATTGTGAAATGTTTTGTTTTCTCAATAATTATTTTATCAATTCCTATTATTCTTTTAGTTTATTTATTACATGTGTTAATATTCGATATATTTACATAAGAAAATAACTAATTTTCCAGTTCATCATGAATGTGCTTAACATCATACAAATTTTGTTAAACGTATTGCGACTTATATTGCAAATTCTTTACTATATCTGCCAGAGCGTGTACTACAACTTTTTCGGATTAGAAGAAAAGAATGTGAATGGTGAGATTGTTTTGGTACGTACAAAAAATATAATGTTTATTGCAAAAGTAGATATTAAAACTTAAAACAAAAGAAATTGGAAAGAATAAGGGCAATAGGAGTCAGGCGCAGAAGACGTCGCGCAAATAATACACTCATAAAACGTAAAACTTCTTTATTCTACTAAACGCGCTTACATGTTTCGGCTCACTTTTGAGCCTTCTTCAGAGACAACACAAACTAACATATATAAACTGAATGAATAAAAGTTATTTTGTCATGATGAGCTCCCTTACATCGAGAATATAAGTGCCAGAAATTAAACCCAAATAAGAATGAAAGAAAAAAACAAAAAGATAGGAAATATATTGGAAATATCGAAATAGAGAATATGGAAAACACACACACACAATAATTTATCAAAAAGCTTTAAGATTATAATTAATTATCTCGAAAATAAGGACGCTCACCGTGATCACAAAGCACCACATCGTATTAAACATCACTATTAATAATTCAAAAACCGGTTTTTGATATATTGACCAGTCAGTATCAAACACAGTGAGTCAAATCTAATTATGTCTAATTACTGACTGGCCAACATATCAAGAACCGGTTTTTGAATTATTAATAGTGATGTTTAATACGATGTGGTGCTTTGTGATCACGGTGAGCGTCCTTATTTTCGGGATAATTAATTATAATCTTAAAGTTTTTTGATAAATTAGTGTGTGTTTTCCATATTCTCTATTTCTCGATATTTCCAATATTTTCTATCTTTTTTATCTTTTTCTTTCATTCTTATTTGGGTTTAATTTCTGGCACTTATATTCTCGATGTAAGGGATTCACCATGACAAAATAACTTTTATTCACAGTTTATATATGTTAGTTTGTTGTCTCTGAAGAAAGCTCAAAAGTGAGCCGAAACATGTAAGCGCGTTTAATAGAATAAAGAAGTTTTACGTTTTATGGGTGTATTATTTGCGCGACGTCTTCTGCGCCTGACTCCTATCGCCTTATTCTTTCCAATTTCTTTTGATTTATAAGGAGTCTTTGTTAGTTTAATTTGTTATACGGATTTAGATATAGTATTAAAAATGATCAAAGTATCATTTTGAAAAAATTCAAAATTGATGAAGAAATTAAACAAATACATTTCAATAACAAAATTAATTTACATGTTTATGTATTTAATTTATCTCAACTTTATATACAATGTACATATGAAACAATAAGAGATAATGAAAAATTTTTTCTTCTTAATTAGTAAATATGTATTAATTAAGATAAATATATGTTTAATATATGTTAAGATAATATTAAAATAGGTATAATGCAATATTAAATATTAATCTTTTATGATATCATTCCCTTATTTCAAAAGTGATATAACTCAGAAAATTAAGTTTCCTATGAGAGAGAGAGAGAGACAGAGGGGGGGGGGGAAAAAAATCTTCCAATTTAACAGAAAATTATTGAGTCGAATAATATCGATAAAAGGATATTATTGTTAGCATAATCAAATGTTATTTTTGTTACGATCCTTAAAACTTTTTTTAAATTGTGGCAATTTTGAAAACATTTTATGAAATTAAGTTCATTTTTGATAATTGATAGGATAATGTTTATTTAACATATTCAATGTGTATTTAACATATAGTAATAATTCAAAAGTTATATTTTTTTAGTTGTATCACACTGAAAAAAAAGATTGGCTG